GTCCCCGTCGCCCGCCCGCCTCTCACCGTGTCTCTCTCCGTCTCTCCCCCGCCCGCCGGCCCGGACCCGCCCGGACCTGGACCCGACCCCGACCCCGACCCCGCAGAGGACAAGCAGGTACGTGCGCGGTGCCGCTCAGCCTGTCGCTAGACCCTGTCGGCTGTCACCTTTTGTGGCACTAACGCCGCCGGCACCCAGGCGCGACCCCGCCCCCGCCGGCCGTCATGCAGCCCTGTCGCGATAACCGATTGTCAGCGGGGGTACTGTCGCCGCGCTGCGGCTGAGGAGGGGAGGATTAGACGCCATGCCACGGGGGTGCTGGACCCCTGGCCCTCAGAGCCGGGGCCGTGCGCCACTCCCCAGGATGGGGGGATGGGCCGAGTGTCCCTCTCTCAATGGTTCAGGGCCAGCATCTCCTTGCTGGCTTGGCTTGTAGGCCATGTGCTGTGAGTCCTGGGTGAGACCATGGTCATAGCCTGACACAGGCTAGGGGAGGGGTCTCTGGGTCTACCAGCCAGGCACAATCCCTGAGTAGGCGGAGCCTACTTGTCCCCTCTGGGGGAGCCTCTGGTCACCCCAACCCACTGCCCTGCACCTTAATGCCCCTCGCCCAGCACCCAAATTCCAGTGTACTGGTCTGTGGCCGGGCCTCTTCCCCTGACTGGGGGCCTCCAAGGCCTCGTCTGAGTCATCCTGGTGTCTAGCACCCATCCTTGGACCCGGTGGGTACAAACAGGCTTGTGGCTTCCCAAAAGGCCTGGTCCAGTCCCCACCCTCCAGGATTGTAGAACCCAACCGGAAGCTGGCCTGTGCACCCACCATGAAAACCTGGCCCAGCTCAGGGTTAAACAAAGCTGTAAAACCACGAGACTGAGGTGAGGATGGTAACCAGGTGGGCTGGGGGCTCTGGGGTAGCCCTGCTGGTGGCCTCTCTGGCTTGAGTTCAGCTATGTTTGGAGGAGGAAAGAAGGGCCCAATCCCGGCATCAGGATGGCTTTAGCAGCCTCTATCAGGGATGGGCGTTCACACATGGTGTGGGTGCTGGGTGGGACCCCCAGAGTCCTGCTCAGAGTGCAGCAGGCTGGGCAGGAGCAGCTGGCAGGTGGGGTGGGAGCTGGGGAGTCACTGGCTGCCTGATGCCAGTCTCCTGGCAGGGACATGCCCCGCCCAGGGGTGGGTGAGACCCATTGGGAGGGGCTCCCCAGGGAGCCGGGCCAGGAGCTGCTTCCCCATCACTGCCGGTCAGACAAAGCCAAGATGCAGGCAGGGACACACGCAGCCAGGCCATTGTTTGAGGGAAAGGGAAGGAGGCTGGCTCCCTCAGCTTCCCCTGGGCCTGCATGTGTCCCAAGCATGGCCCGAGGGCATTCTGAGTCACTAGGCTCAGCACCAGTCAGGCTCTCTTGCCCTTCGCTGCATGGATGGGGACTCCCTCCTGCTGAGGTGTGAGCCCCTTCAGGCCTGTGTCTGCCATCCTTGAGGTCAGCTGGGAGCCAGCCTCACCCCATCCCCTGCCCCCAGGCCCAGAGGCAGAGGGCACCTACAGGTGAAGGGAGGGAGTCCCAGGAGCAGGGCCAAGGAGCCAGGTGTTTTGGGCAGGCGGGTGGGTCTGGAGGAGCCCAGAAGCACATGGTCACTTCATGTTACCCTGTCGTTATTACTGAGCCTCAACCTATCCAAGCTTTTTTTTTCTGTGAAAGGGGGTTGGAGAGGCAGTGGGGGGCTCTGCTGGCCCTCTGTGCCCCCCACCTCCTCTCAGGCAGTGATGGGGGTTCTGTTGGCTCTGGCTGCTGCTTTCCAGAGCTGACTCGGGTGATTCTAAGAATGGAAATGCCTCGAGAGTCTCCGGCACTAGGAGGAGGTGGGCGCAGCTGTGTCATATGGCTGAGAAAGCCTTGAGTATTTGTTGTGCGTCAGGGACCAAAGACCAAGGGTGGCAGGGCCCCTTCCTTGGGGCTCCCCTGGGGATTCCACAGGCCCCGACTGGGTCTGGTTGGATGATGGGGCAGGCAGATTGGGAGCTGAGAGTGAGACTCTTGCCCTCCTGACCTGGGCCTCCCCACGGGGTGTGGCTTATCAATGAGGAAACTGAGGCAGTCTGAAAGCTACAAGTTCTATTGGATACCAGGGTGTGGAGAACAGAGGTGCCCTTCCAGCCTGAGGCCAGGCCCCAGACTGTCTTCCTGAAGATGCCCTGGGCCTTAGATACCCGCCTGTCTGGGTGGATGCTGGGCTGAGGACTCTATAAAGCAACCCAGGGGTGGAGGTTGGGTGGGACTCAGCCCAGAGGCTTCCTGCAGGTCAGGACCATAGAGAGCTGGGGCTAGGTGAGGAGGCTTTCTGGGAGCAAGAACTGGGGGGCCCAGCTGGGAGAGCTGGGAGCCTGTGGCTGCCTCCCTGCCCTGGATGAAAGGCTCTCCTGTTCCCAGCTGTGTGCCTGCCCCTCCTCCCCAGGTGCCAGCGGCCTCCAGGCCCCACAGCAGGACTAGGGTCTGGACAGCGGGTGGAGACCCCTCAACTAAGGGAGGCCTGAGTGGGGGCGAGCTGGGGGGCTCCTGGTCCTACTGAGGCACACTAGCTGGGGGCATGTCCATCCAGGCCCCCTTTCCTGTCCCATTGGCACTGGCTTGTTGGGATTCTGATGGGGTCTTTGGGGTGGTGAGGAAGGGTTTGGTAGTCCATAGAAGATGGTTTCCCGGCTCAGGAGACCCCTGCGTGAGGAGAACCCTGCTCTCCCTGGGGTGGCCACACGGGGGAGTGAGGGACCAGCTGGCTGTAGCTCTCCAGTTCTGTGACCAGTGCTGTGGTCAGAGAAGTCGGGAAGCTCGGAGGGGAGCGGAATGTCCACCGGGCTAGTGGGGAGTGGCCCCCACTCCACCCCCCTACCTCCCGTCCCCCAACTCTGGGGGCAGGGGCCATCTAGGGGTGGCGGCGACGACGCGTGGGCGGCGGTTTTGCTGAGCCGCGGGCTGGCCAGGGCTTCCAAGTTTGAGGGGAGAAGGGGGGCGTCCAGTACTCTGGCCGTGCGCGCCCCCTTCCTCCCTCAGTCTCCACCGGGGGCGGGTCGGGGCTGAACTTCGCAGGTGGGGTGGGCTTTGCCCTCGTCCCGCTCCCGGTACGTCTCGGGGCGCCGCGCCGGGAAAGAATCTCCCAAACGTTCGCACAGGGGGGAGTCACCCCCAAGCGGGGGCGGGCGGGGAGTGCAAGGAGGGACGTGTCCTTGGGTGGTTGGGGGCGCCGTGACACCGCAGGAGGTTTCGGGGCCGATCTGACAAGAGAGAGGGGCTGCGGAGGGGTCCGGTTCCCGCGCCGTCGCTCGTGGGTCCGGGAGCGTCCTCCGGCGCCCTCTGGCGGGCGGAAGCCGC